CTCGCTACGTAACATTATTCAGATACCATGAGTTTCGTCAATTTAAAAACTTAGTGAAAACACCTTCATTTGATGACGTAATCCGGTTTTAAACTACCCCGTTGATATAGTATAATTTTGCTTGTTTCGTATTTCTATGAACTGAGTTGAACTCAGCAAATTGTTACTTAATTTATTAGTCACACATCATCTTACACATCCCTCGTTTGTATTACCTAACTCCTTTACCATTGTGTGCATACATTTACTTCATTATATATTATTTAAATTAATCCCAGCGGATTTATCCGAATAAATCTGATGAGAAGCTGTGGCTTACACGGCGAAACGTTCAGAAAAATCTTGTTTTGATTTTCTTAACACGCTGGGATTAATTTAAATAATATATAATGAATCAGTCTGACTCGGCGCTCAAATTATTCCAGGAAATTCGTAACACCTACGGTCTGGAAACCTATAATACATTTACTTCGCCTAAAATTGAACTACCGGTGTAAAAACTACATAAGGGTAATTTTCTGAGCACTGTTCACTAAGTCCGGAGCCTCCTGTCAACTGACATCCTGTAAAATTTGCAAGTATGTTAAAACTTTTTTGTACATAAACTTAATAATAATTTTTTGATAGAGAAAGAAAGACCAGATTTGCAGTGTAAAATGATATCATTCTATTTCACAGGTTCTCATCAGCTAACTGCAAACTACCTGAAATTACAATGGGTATAAATAATCACATTTCATACTTCATTGTTTGAAAGGTAATAGAGAAAACATTATAAGGTGAACGCATCCGGAATATAAGTATTACAATTTTTAGTTTAAGTTACCATCAATCTATATACTATCAAACTATGAAAAAATGCGGGATGAGAGAAGACAGAAAAATCTAATAAACAGTGTCAACATTGCAACTCAACAAGGTCAAAGTTCATCAAATCGACAACTTGCTTAGTGAGTCGAGCCCACTAGTGTGTATGACTAATCAGTGTAATGAAAGTGATATGGTTACCAAGGGAGTGAGAGATCGACTACACTTTCTTTCTGTGTGCATAAGTTTGGTCTGAGACGTTTAATTGCAATTGATTCAGCAAATCGTAGTAGATTCGCTGTCCTTTGTATGTTTAATAGTTTGAAGGATTTGGAAATCTCAACAAAATGACCCGTATCCATAAGGTGTCTGGTAATTGAACTTCGTAATTATCTGCTTTCTTTTGAGCATAAGTTTCTTGGAATATGCTCAGAAAATAGGATAGAAGCCCTCCTTTGTGTCCTTCCAATATACTTGCTGCCGCAGGTGCACGTAAATTTATAAATGCAGTTGGAAGTAACATCAGCAGGGTACTTATCCAGTTCGATTGGCTTATAGAGCATGTAGCGCTGTATAGTGTCACCAGATTGTCTTCGCGGAAGCATCTCTTTATTGCTCCTTTCATCTTCTTTTCAATCTCTTGCGATACTGTTTCTCCTTTCTATGGGAGGCAAATGAACACTTTCTTCTTTTCAACTGTTGGGTACTTTTCTTTCTCATCTCTTTCTTTGCTGTACTTTAGGATAAATCCTTTTGGATACCCGTTTTCCTTAAGGCATTTTTCAACAAAGCTTAATTCTTCTTCTACCTTGTTAGGCGAACATAACTTCCTGACCCTGTCGTACAGTGTCCTTACTAATCCCCGCTTATAGCTCATAGGGCAGAAGCTGTTGTAATGAAGGTAATGTCCGGTCCAAGTTTCTTTCCTATGGATGAACTTTTCGACTGTTCCATCGTTTCTTTATTTTACATTTAGGTCCAGGAAATTGAACTCATCGATGTGTTCATATTCCATGGTGAATTTAATGTGGTCCACCCAAACATTCTTTTTGTACATAAAGTTGATTATAATTTATTTAGGTTGTAAGTAGGTCATGAGAGGCCAACGAAATAAATGATTGTACTATATCCTGCAAAAATTGTTATTCTTGCTTTATTCAAATTCATAAGGGGGAATAAATGTATGAAGTAAACACATCAGTTATTAGACAGAAGACCAGTAATTCAGCAAAGAGTCTCTTTTCGGCGAATTCATTTTTATAGCTGTACAGTCGCGAATATATATATGGTTGTTTTGTATGTGTGTGTACATTAAATTTGTCAAACGAAAATACAACCGGTAAGTTCAGATGGATTCTATGTTGATATAAGAGGGTAGTAACAAAAGTGAGGAGTTTTCACAAACGATTGTTAAAGAAGAGTTACGTAATAATGTGAATAGTTTGATGAAAGAGTTGTGCTCAGGGTGTAAATGGAAACAAAATAACATAGAGAATTACGCAAGAGTTTTAAGTAGTTAGAAAAAAAAGCATAGAAACAAGAGTTAAGTTAAATCATGCAAACAAACAGAAGTTAAGTCAAATCAACGGAGTTATTACCATAAGAGTATTAACAACTGAACACTAGGTAGAAGATAGTTATTACTTGAAGCCTGTATTTTTCAGTGAAAGAATGACATATTTCGAATATCATAGTTTATAAATGGTAACTCAATCATAAGCTGGTCTATAAATCTCCACTTTACTAATACTTTCAGAAATTCATTAACATTAAATAGAGAAACAACAGTGGAAACAATATTATTTGGTTATTTAATCATTATTAGGAAAATCCACACCTCAAATAACAAGGAGCACATAAATGGAGTGTGAAGGATAATTTTTTGAAGGTTAAAAAGAACAAGCTTAAAATAATTTTCAGTGGGACAATTAAAATTTGAATAATTGTTATATATATATGCTTTTCAACGTTCGTACTTGAAATTCGTAAATTTCACTTAGCTTCATGTAAGGAAAATGGTGAACAGATGGCTCCCTTTATGTTATTTACTTAAAAATCCTATCAAATATAGTAGCGTAAAAGATACAGTGTATAGTCTATTTTCAATCGGCTTTATCTGGTTCATTTCTAAAAGCGGTCTGCTTGAATCACTGGGTTACCAGAGTTGCTTTCCACCGAAATGCTTAATTTCATCTGAATTTATCATTGTTTTAATCGTCCAGTTGTATCAAACGACTTAGACATTAGACTGGTGTGCTGATTTAACTTGCTTCCAAGTAAACGCTGTGCAAATCTTCAACAAAATAAAGGTATATTTCAAAATATTACTTTACATGTAAATCCTGTATGATGACAAAAGTTTTGTACCGCATATCCGCATACTGTTTACTATTATATTATTGAACCACCAAAATTGTTTTTTTTAAGTCAATCAACACGTTAAAAACTGGCGAATATACTGTTTTTCGAATTATAATAGGCGTATAATAACAAAGCTATCAGTTAATTTATACACCCAGTTTAAATTAAATTTGTTATCATATAAGAAGATTGATGAAATAAAACAGTTAGAAGAGGTGTTGGTATTAAATAAGTATCCTATAAAATTCATTAGGAGGATCGAAAGAGGCCAAAAGCAAAATAAAAATAATTGTGAAACTAGTAATGATAACATAAATAAGAGAGAATGTAAGGCATCTACTGTTATACCATATAAGGAGGGGACATCTGAAACTCTACGTAGGATTCTTAATAAACAAGGAATTAGGGTGACATTCAAACCTACAAACTCACTCAGAGACAAGCTCTGTAGGCTAAAAGACCCGGTGAACCCAATTAAACAAAATAATGTAATTTACAAAATACCCTGCAATAACTGTGAGGTCAAACTAGTGGGTCGAAGGTAGTCAGATTGTCTGTCGGAAAATAAGAATTTAGCTAAGGTAAGAATGGTTGACCCCGAGAAGATAAGTAATTGAGAAAAAAAACTCAGCAATTGCACTGCATGCATTAACACACAACCACACAAAAAGGTGGGAGAGGGTTAAGATTCTAAGGAGTAATCTATGTAGGTGGAGAGAGAGATATCGATTACTGAATCCTGGTTCGTTGAGTCTCAACCCAACACATGCAACAGAAATGACTCAACGCAGATACCACAGATATGGAAGATATTATTACCCCCAGTCAAATCAGAAGAGGATAATAAATAATCTGAAAATTCTACTTCAATTCACGTACCTCACAACATTCTAACAAGTAACTTTTTATGACTATAAAAACACTCGTCTCATTTCCCATCTGATTGTAATTGATCAATAACACTCGTGTTATTATTTCTGAATGTACATTAATCTTTATTGATTTTTAATCCAATATCTAATCGATTTCATACATGTATATAAATGAAGAAAAACAGTTGTGTGAGTAACTTGATATGATTATGAGCAATAAATTTCGCTCGAAACGTCATCAGTTAATATTACTGTACAACATTGTGTGATTTATCAGAATAAAATTTTATCCATAATGGAGTAGTTATGCTCTACCACAGTGCCCAAGTTTTATAATTTTATTATATTCCACCTCACCTCAGACATAATAATAATAACAGCTTTATTCCAAACAGTATTTGTGGTACAGGTATGGAATTTTCAGCGTGCATTACAATATTGCATCTAATTACCACATAAATTTTATAAGATTTTGAAAACAAAAAACAACCAAAAAAATAGATAAATAAAAAAGAACAGCGTTGCGTTTATATTTCAAACAATGCACCACAGGATATGAAATATAAAATTAGTGTGTAATAGATAGATTTGAACAATAATATAATAGTAACGAAGCAAGGAAAACAAAAACTAATGGGACTATTTGTTAGAGTGCCACAGTAAGCTGATCGTGTCATACCTAACGGATTTCTCATCACATAACAGCTGTGCCAGATATGGTATTGTGAAGTTTTTGTATTTGGTAGTCCTAGCATATAGCCTCCTATAGCTGCTTCTAGTTCTACCAGATGAAATGCAAGGCGACAGCTGCGTATAGAGAGGATGCTCGAGGTCTGACAATATTGCATTCGCTAGTTTCTTACATGACATGATATGTCTATCCACAATAGTGTTAACCAGTTGGTTTAACGTTATCCCACTTGCCCTACTAACGGCTTTTAGTGCCCTTCTCAGCAAAGCAAATTTTTTTTTAAAGAAATGAACGAAAACAGCAATATAAAACCCGGTTGAGTGAATCCACCATGCCAAGTACACATAAAGGAAAAAGACAGTGTTAAATATATACGCATTTATTACTACAAAGAAGTTAGCTATGAGTGTGTTTCATTTTTATAAAAAAAGCGTATGTTTTATTTAATTGTAGTTGTATATCATATCACATTAAGAAAATTCACAGCCAGTTGTTGTAGGTCAATATGTGTCGGTCACATGAAGGCCACATTGCTTTATGCAGTAACAATCGACGAGAGAACAGAAAACAGATGATGTACTTCATCATCAGTTAGATCACAATTCAATGCAATACGAATACTCGGTGGTGGATTACTATAGTTAGTGTTGTATGTGTATCTAAAATACAGAAAAAGAAAGATTATAAGTAGAGAAGTAGTGGTGGGTAAGACTAATTCATTGTTTCAACGAGGAAATGAAACAAGCACACACTCATCACATTTGGTATAATAAATAAAAAAATAAAAAAAAAATAAAAATGAAGTTAGTAACTACTAACCTTGCTACTGTGAGAAGCACTGGAGGCGCTTCCGAATTGCACTCACCAGTCCAATCAAAAGCGGCTTGAACAATAGCCTCAAGTTTAAGGAGGGTGTTATTCTCTCTTAATCTCAAGTGTTTCAATGGGCTATCCGGATGTCCATATAACTTCCATGTATTGGTCAGCTTTTTATCAGAATGGAAAATATTGTCCGCTAGCCTGGCTAACTCCAATAAACGCCTGTTACGTCTACCATTCTCAAATTCAGATTGTAGTTTAAAAACTGCTGTGATTGCAGCTGAAGCCAACATTGGTGGTAGAGAAGCTGAAAAACAATATCCTTGTCCAGAGAGTTCTTGATGACCAACAACAAACTGAGATCCAGCACAGAATCCACCACATACCCCTAAGGCAGTTTCTAACGAACCTGTACATGAAAGGTAAATGAAACACTTGCTATGTATGAAATGTTACATGAAGCAATTAAAGCATAAAGAAGGTGTATTGGAGACCTCAATCTATGCAAAAATGTAAGCATGAGCATCATAACAGTAAAATTTCGGCAGTGAATATATATATATATATATATATATATATATATATATATATATAATGTAGAGACAGAGTTGACAGTAGATTCCAGGGCCAATAACTGGGTCATATTCTGACTGGGAACGCCACTACTCACTAGAATGTAAGTATATCCAGCTTAGAAGTCCTTGAGGTGATGAAACATGAATTCCAGCCAGCAGCTATCTTAAAGCTTGAAACCTATCATCCAGGAGTCAACTTAAGGGGCACATACACCAACAGTGACGATTGTATCGGTCTGACAATACAGTCAACAAGAAACCTCCCTTTTTAATCAGTGACATCTTATTATTCTGTTGCGTCTGTCATCTGTATGATTCTGACGAAACTAATTACATCAATATTTGCTCGAAATATTATCAAAATGAAAAAAACCCTTATCATTCTTGTTTAAACAACTACTAAAATATAAATAAAATTCATTTTATCTAGCCCACACTGCACAAGCTTCCCACAGATATTAATTCTGATGAATTAAAAATTGCGTACAACTCTCAGCTGTCCATCTTTCGCACCTATTCATCATAAATTTTAACCCACCTTCCTGTTTATGTGCACAATCTTTTCTAATAATTCTTTTTATTCTTAAACTTTTAATTGGTTGTTTTAAATCGTTCTATAATTAATTTCATTAGTTAGTGTATCAGACCTTGCAAAAATAGTTCTTTTAAAATCCTTACTAACGATTTCGATAAGGAAGTAAAGACCAATAATTTAATAAGAATTAAAAGCTTCTAATGTTAGATTGTAGCATAAAGTGGAAAGAAGATGGAAAGTTAAACACTAGTGTCTACAAAAACCTATACATTCAAACCGATATATGGGTTTCGGTTCATCCTAACCTATGTCATTAAAAATACGATTGGTGCAACGCTTAAGTAATAGGGCAGAAAAATTAAACAGAGTCACAGGAAATCTATGGCAGAAAGTTAGATGTACAGGAGAATTCTCCAAGCTTAATATTTCCTCCGATGCATTAATCAGGAAGTGCACAGAAAATTGTACAGATAAAACTAATAATAAGTACGACATTCATGATAAAAATGCACAGAAATTTGACAACATCAACAATAAATGATTTAAAACACCAGCAGTGCATCCATTCAGGAAAAGAACCTCAGAAACCCTGTGTAGAATTCTTACTAGAGCAGGAATAAAATTGGCATTCGAACCTACAAACTCAACTAGAAACAAATTAGGATCCTGGGAAGCCCAATAAACAGAATTACTTTGTTTATCTAGCACCCTACAATGATTGTCACATCAAATACATAGGTCAGAGTAATAGCATGGGGTCAGTCAGACTAGTAAAGCGCAAAACACTAGCGAAATCGAGATCAGTTGACCTTAACAAGATAAGAAATCTAGTAAATACCTCAGTCATAGCACTACATGCAACTACACACAACCAAACAACAGGATGTGATAAGGTGACATTCTTAAAATGTAGCACAACAAGATGGAGGGAGAGATTGATAACAGAAGCTGTATTTATTGAATCAACTTGGAAATACATGTAATAGGAACGATTCAATATCTGTCCCAGCCATCTGGAAAACTCTACTGCCTTTATGATGACCGAGAAGCAATAAAGAAACCTACAAAACTCATGTTACAAAGTTGCGTAGTTACAATCAGTGATGTGATTAAGAACAATAAATTGTGTTGGAAACATCATCCAGTGAATAATACTGTCACACTGCGTGAAATGTTCAATAAACAAATTCATATGGAATTACACATACATTATACACAACTAATGGATCAGCGTACAATACTGTGGCGAATAAGATCAGTTTAATATATGGGCAACAGATATTTATCCCATGTTCCCACTAGGTTATCTGTGTTAGGATTACAGTTATCTACAATTATACAACCTAGGCTTATTTCCTTCCAGTGTGATGGAAATACAATAGAGACTGGGTGAACCCAATTAACTGTAAATAATAATGCAAAACAAAATAACTAATAACAAGATTTTTTACGAGTTGATCACTGATTGATATCAATTAGAGAACCATTGAAAACCAGAACTGGAGTACTGGACAGCTGTTTCATCCTAGTTTGGGAATCATCGGCAGTACACACCCACTCCCGGGGTTCAAACCCAGGAAATCTGGTTACAGGTCAAGTTCGTATACCATTCAGCCGCTGGGACTTGATTCAATGGCTCATGAATTCTAACTTCTACTAATACGTGATTTAGCGCGACCCCAACCAGTGTCGTCGGTGGGATATCAATCCATGATCAACTCGTAAAAATATAACTAACACTTACAAACCAAACTATAGAAAATAACAAGATTATGAAAATGTGAAAGTAGGTACACTTGCCTGAAATCAAATCAATATCTTCAACATCAACACCGAAATATTCTGTTACACCTCTACCTGTTTTGCCAAGTACTCCAAAAGATACTGTTTCATCTAATAATATACGCACTTTATACTTATACTTTAAAGCGATTAGATCTGGTAGAGGACAAATATCACCATAATTAAGATATAAACCATCAACAACAAAAAATCGACGTGTTAGCATAGCACGCTTAGGATCTTCTTTATCTTTTTTTGCCTGTGCCATGAGTAGCTGTTCCAAATGTTCCATATCATTATGACGAAAAAATCGAACATGACTTCTTGATGCCACTAATCCTTGATATGCGGCAGGGCTGATACCTTCATCAGCAAATATGACATCAGTTCGTTTGGAATACGATGGAATAGCACTGGAAAATGTAGCAGCTCCATAAGAATAAATGACAGCTTTTTCTACGCCAAGATATTTAGCCAATATTTCTTCAAGCTCTAAATGAACATCAAAAGTGCCATAAAATCCTCTGGGTCCACAAGATCCAACACCATACTTTTTCATCTGTTCAACAGCAGCAGTAGATAAATCTTGATCTTCAATGAAATTCAAGAAATTCAGTGTTGCAAAATTTAAATGTCCTCTGTTGTTCATCTTTTCATTACTCTCATTTTCTCCTCCTGTTGGGTTGAAATTCACATACCTTAAGTGAATAACAAAAATTTAAAAGTACAGAAAAGCATTGAAGGAACCACAAGTGTTGATGACTGACAGAATATGGAACTTCTGGGTGTCAACATAAACACTGATCATACAAATTTCTTCAGTACTCTAAGTACGTGTTATAATGAACGAATATGAAAAAAAACATCTGATGAGTTTATTCTTGAAACTGCAAATATTTCAAGGTAATTATCGAGCAGCAATCAAACTGAAACAGAAAATTCAAGTGCTGGTTTGTAGGAATTTGATTGGTTACAGGATTTCATCATCAGCTGACGTTAGTTAGAGGACCATTGAAAAACCTTGGAGTACTGGACAGCTGTTTCGTCCTAGTTTGGGACTCTTCAGCACTTGAATATCAATGAGATGCTCACTAGCGGCTTGCCCTGTTCAGGTAGGTAGTTACCTGGGGTTCTAGTGAGAAGTCATGACCAGTAGGGTGCAGCAGGTCGAGTGTGAGGGCAAATAATCGCCGAAGACATTAGCTAGGGGTCGCGCTATGTTGTGAATTAGCAGAAGTTAGAATTCATGGGCCATTGGATCGTGTCCCAGTGGCTTAATGGTATACGAGCTGGCTCGCTTTGTAACCAGAAGGTCCTGGGTTCAAATCCCGGTGGGTGCATACTGATGAAGAGTCATAAACTAGGACGAAACAGCTGTCCAGTACTCCCTGGTTTTCAATGGTTCTCTAACTAATGTTAGCTCACGGTGAAATTAGTAAAATATAACTCTGAGGAACTATAATAATAATGATAATTATTATTATTATTAACGCCACCTGACCATATTCAAAGATGACTAAATGTGCCAGAAATGATATTAAAATTCTTGGACTAAATTCATAAAATTAAAATTAATACAGCTACAAAATACCTGGAGACTATTGATATTATGTAGATAGGACAGTTGAATATTCAGAGTGGGATAGGAGCTTATGAATTAGTTTATTTAATAATCCATACTCTAGACTCATAAGACACTTAGTCGCCTTTCAACAACTGTTATATATGTAGAACACTTGTTGTACTTCTTTAGATGTGATTGTAAAAGTGTTGAAAATGAGTTCATGATAAGCTTGTACTATCAGTTTACGGCTGCAATAAATGCTTGTTCATACGGCTAAATCATAAAGACTAGCGACTACGGAGTGCGAACTCACCGATAACCTTGAACGCATACCATTAGTTGGACTGCAGAACCTGCTATCAAAACGGTTTCATCTATATGAACAACGAAACAGTCCTCTCCCATTTACACGAAAAATACAAATAATGATATAATACCCTAACCCTAAGATTTCTATCAAAGGAGACTTAAGTCAATGCAAGAACTGGCGCGGAATTATGCTGCTGTCCATCCCAAGCATAATACTAAAACGCATCATCCTGAAGAGAGTCAAACAAGCCCTGGGTGAAAAACTTCGACCGGAACAGGCCGGATTCAGGAGAAACAAGTCATGTATTGATCAAATCGCCACACTACGGATCATCATTGAACAAAGCTTGGAATGGCAGTCACCTCTCCATCTCAACTTCATCGACTTTGAGAAGGCCTTCGACAGCGTCGATCGAGAGGTCATTTGGAAACTACTTCGCTACTACGGGGTGCCATCGACAATTATACATCTCACCCAACAGTTATACGACAGTGCTGCATGCCAAGTAATCCACAACGGGAAACTTACGGAAGCCTTCGAAATGAAGACGGGAGACAAGCTGGCTGGCCGCCTACCATCGACAATGATCTTCCTGATTGCAGTAGATTGGATAATGCGACAGACAACGGGAAATGAGGAAACAGGCGTAAAATGGACTCACACAAAAAACTTGGAGGATCTGGACTTTGCCGATGATATATGTCTGATTTCCCACAAATTGGAAGATATGCAAGTGAAAAGCAACAAGCTGGCAGAAGAAGCATGCAGAGGAGTTAGGACTTCCTTCAGATGAACAGAGAAAACAGAGGTGATGAAGATTCCTGGCCAGCACCAACAGCAACAATCAGCCAGCATAAATGGAAGGAACCTGAAAGAAACAACATCCTTCACCTGCCTGCCTACCTGGGAAGCATCGTCTCAACTACAGGCGGACGGAACTGACGAGGATATCAAAGCAAGAATCAGAAAAGCAAGACAAGCTTTCATTACTCTCAAGTCTGTGTGGAGGTCAACAGCACTCAGCATTAAAAATAAGATCCGGATCTTCAGCTCTCATGTGAAGTCAGTGCTACTATACGGATCAGAGACTTGGCCAGCGCATCATAAAGAGCATCTCAAACAAACTACAGACCTTCATTAACAGTTGTCTTCGCTCAATACTCAAGATCATATATATATATATATATATATATAGCCTAGTGAACGTATTTTAAAATGGTGATAACATAAGCAAAAATTGGCCTAATATGCGATTGGAAAAGAGTAAGTGGTGGCCAAACAAAAACATGGCCTCATCAATCCATGAAATCCTTGACAGTTAAACTGAGTCAGGTAGGGAGATGCAGACTTCCGGGTTGGGGCCCTCGGGATTCTAAGAATCAATGACTGGAGACAATACGTGACATGGCTCAAAATCGTTGTCAATGGCGCAGATGTATTCAGTCTCTGTAATCTTACATATTCCTTTCTACCATTACCCATTCTGTTTCACTCGTATACTTGTCAAACTCTATTGATTCTCTTCACTCATCCTCTTGTCTACTTTTGTGTGCTATTTGGAACGTGGCAACTCGAACAGCTGCACTTCGGTGCCAAGTTCTATGTTGAGTCCAGACAGACAGAATATGCGATTGGGAACGAGACTACTTTGAATCCCATAAAACCGTTTGCACAGAAAATGGAACTCTTATTCGAATGGTGATAGACTGAAAGTTTTTCCACGTGAATAAATTTATCGGTACCGACAAAACAGTTTGTATGATTTGTTATTTCAACAATACTACTGAAAAACAAGTACATAATGACTGTGACTTTTGTCCACTAGTCTATAATATACTCTAAAGTGTAGCCTTCTGTCTTTTTCGTAGAGCTTCAAATCTTAGAGTTTTGTAGCGGTGATGTGGTTTTCCAGCCTCAAATCCAACCTTCTATCTACTACAGCTTTAATACCATCTAGTAAACACAAGACGAGAGCGGCGGGGGGGGGTATCGGCAGGGGGAGTCAAAACCAGACCTCATGCATTGTTAGTGAACATTCTACCATTAGACTACAGACGTTTTCAGCTGGTGGAGTGCATATAATATCCAACAACAAAATACAAACAGAATGAAATTCAGCAATCTTGTGAGTATTTTTAAATTACTTTAATGGCCACACCTAAGATAATGTCAGTGATTCTAGCAGATCTATCTAAAATGAATAGAAATAAACAGCAGTAATAAGGAACAACACAACTAAATTAACTAAAAGACAAGAACATACATAGAATGAGATGGTTACTATTTGTGGTTACTGAAACATAGCCAATACGAGTTGAAAACATGAAAAAGGTTGACTATTTTTAATCATAGATGTCTACGATCTCTTTCTCACGTTACGTGGTATAATAAAGTAGGTAATGTTGACGTTAGGCGTAGAGTGTTGGGCAAAGAGGGAAAATCAAAGTTACATGGATTGAGATGGCTAGGTCACGTGCTGCGCACGCCTAACCATTGCCTGCCCCGAAGGGCATTACTAGCTGATGCAGGTTGGAAAAGAGTAAGTGGTGGCCAAACAAAAACATGGCCTCATCAATCCATGAAATCCTTGACAGTTAAACTGAGTCAGGTAGGGAGATGCAGACTTCCAGGTTGGGGCCCTCGGGATTCTAAGAATCAATGACTGGAGACAATACGTGACATGGCTCAAAATCGTTGTCAATGGCGCAGATGTATTCAGTCTCTGTAATCTTACATATTCCTTTCTACCATTACCCATTCTGCTTCACTCGTATACTTGTCAAACTCTATTGATTCTCTTTACTCATCCTCTTGTCTACTTTTGTGTGCTATTTGGAACGTGGCAACTCGAACAGCTGCACTTCGGTGCCAAGTTCTATGTTGAGTCCAGACAGACAGATTATTTAATAATCATATGCATCTCATGCATTTGGGAATGATCTACACATACGGTGTGTAACCCTATTTGTTGAAAGTTGACTGTCTAATCCAATGAACCAGTTCTATTTTCAATAAAATCATCTTAGCAGATCTAGGAAGTGATTAATGCAGATAAAAACCTGAAAGAATGTAGCACTCTTCATCCCCAGGTATCAGTTATGTGGGAGCGCAGTTTACGTTTTTGCTTACCTGTCACAGATAATTCTTCCAATGCAAAAGATATCTCAGAATGAGCTCTAAAAAGCCCTGTCGTCAACATTCTGACATTTAATAATGATCCAATGATATGTTTCGTACAAAATTATGCGTCAAATTTGTACATGATTCACCTACAATTACTACGTTACTTGGCCTTATTCACTTTACTACACTAGTAAGTAAAATATTTTCCCTGCAGTTATAATTCTTAAGAGTACAAAAATCTGTGTATACAAACCTTAAGAACAGATAATTGCTATCTAATGTAAGTGTATACAGAAGTACATGATAAACAAGTACTTACTTGCCAAGTCGACCGTATGCGCATCTATGAAACTGTTTCAAGAGATATTTTGGTGGTTCCCAATCCTTTGGAACCAAACTATCAGGTTTCCATTCATTAATTAGTTGATTTTTTTCCTCTACACTCAAATTAATTACATCATTGATACGATAACTGCGTTTAAACAACAGCCAAACAATACCAATGATTAAAAGTAACTCAAAGTATAAGTGATATGTAGGGGCTTTAAGTGCACTATAGATTAGACGAGTCCAAGTATATTCTGAATTAGGACCTAAATTTATAATTAGAACGGAAATGTTTATGACTTACCAATTTGAGCAAGAAAGTAAGTAATGAATTTCATCATCGTTATTTTTCCATGTGATAAAGAAACCTTTAAATTTTATCCTGAAAAGTGAAAAAGTTATTTAACAGTTTAGAAGAATAAAAACGAATATTTAAAAACTTGATATTAGATGGTTGGGGGCAATCGGCCACATAGGTTTCGTGCTAGTTGGCACTCACCAGTCAGTCAGCAAGGCGTATCTGGAGAAGAGGGCACACAATTAGACTTCTATTGCTTCGATTCATAATCCACCAGAGTGTGACAACCCCTATTTTGGAAGTACTTCAATTAGTAACCCGACCGATAGCTGCTACCTTGACGTGTTGTTAGGACTTGCGCATCACAATGACTCAACAAGCTGCTCTGACTGGAACTATTGTTCCTGCAGGTCCTACCATGCCAGGAAGGCTGTTAGGATAGCGGTTAGACTAAAACCATTTACCGGAATAGTATAAGAATTTTTTTACATTCATCTGGGTGTCTGTGGGTGAAGTCGTATTGTTGGGGAGCAGGGATGTAACAGTAGTAAGGTGTTTCCCTCAGATGACCAGCATGCCAGCTGTGCTGTCTTTCTACTCTGAAGAGAGGGGGTTAGAGAAGTTCGACCTCAACAGTTGTATATCCCGATTTACCCTACGGTGTTCCGTAACCGGCGGTAAGTTTACTAATACGGAGCCAAACCAAGTAACCAGTTCATACAGGCCGTGTGCGACCGGCCTAAACCAGTTGTCCCCAGGGCTCTGCAGTCATGCAACACTAACCCTCTTTCTCTTTCAGGTACCCGAAGAATCAACCAATTTCCACGGTGTGTGCAGCCGGGAAGTAACAACCGCCCACGCACTTCCAAGAGCAAACGAAGCCTCTCCGAGGATCATTCTCCTTTACCCACATCATCCTCATCAATTAATACACACTCATAGACTCATTGATTAAGTGACCTTCATAACCCAACATCACTGAATCGTAACACTACTTATCAAGCTATCCTGTCTACCATAATCAACTGAATGAAAGAACCTATGGTCAAAAAGCTAGTCTTCTTGTATATTCTGATACAAGTAGCTATGTCTCACAACCGTACACTATGACAAAATAAACTAGTAGGAAGCACATAAACCATTACATGGATAGCCACATATCTTGCCGACAATAAAAATGATACCAGCTGACAAATACTAAACCAGACATTTAATGTCTGTGTTGAGACTTAGTCAGCAGCCTGTCCACTTAAAACAAATACAATTCCCCACTACATTCTCTATTCTTAAAGTAAAAGTCCGTGCAGATGAATCCCATGGCATCACCTTACATTTGACACAAGTGGTGTGCATGCTAAACATTCTTAGGTTTTCTCCTAAAGAATTCAGAAGGCGGCATTTTAAAAGCGTCTAGATCAAAATAAATTGGCTTGAGAATGCATATATTTGATAATATCCTGGGTTTTTTTTATTTCAATGTGCAAGTTATATAGAAAAATAGCAGTTAACCTTAAGAAAACCCTTAGATGTAGTACTAGGGTGTGTATCAGTTACCAACCTACAGTCAGAAGAAGAATGTAAAATATACATTATCTGATTGTCTGTCAACAACAGGAATATCGTTATGGTAAGGTATATGAGACTTTTACACCCAGGGGGTTGATTGACTGAGTTCCCAAAGTAGAAATTTGCACGAAATTACAACAATTCAAATCGCCACACTCCGTATGCCACACAAAGGTATTGGAAAATACAAATTCACAATGACTGTAATGAACGGATATATACAGGGGAAAGAATAAGTACGTGGAGAATAAATACTATCTGATGCGTCTAGAAGTTAGTAAAGAGTAAACCCATCTGTCATTGAAAACAATTTTGAGGTATGTTACAAACCGTTTTCAACGGCGGATTTTTAGTGCCCCAAGCACCCCAACCGCAGTGTACACCTCTCTTCATAGCTGAAACCAACAGTAAAAGACTTCATAAACTGATGTCAGGTTTTGACCTGACCACCCGAAACTCTTTTGCAACTTAATCCTACGTCAGCTAACATTGCTTGGTGATGAAGGCGTTTGTTTGGTATGCTTAGCAGATATCCTAGCCATCTCAGTCAATGAGGTTGTGGAGCTACTTCGATTCTCTTATCCTCTTCACCTAACGCGCTACACTTCAATGTTACTCGTCATATTATACGTCTACATGGGAGACGGAATACAAACACTTGTGATTAAAGATAGGTAGCTTCTTCAGGGAAGTATTAACGCTGAGATTATTAAGTCAGAAAAAATTCAAAAGACATAATTATTGGCAACATCAAGGATTCTTTATCATCGTATGAATTCCATCATAGTATAATCCTATTTGATAAAAGCAGTGATACAGTATTCTTTACTGATGACGTTTGGAGAACAATTTATTACTCGTAATCACATTAGGCATTAATATGATTATGAACAATAAATTATCATTTTGGATGAATTTTCTATTGATGTGGAATGAATGCTCAATAACTGAACTATATGTTGGCCTAACTTTTTTCCTTTCGACGATTGTAATGCGAGATGTTCTTGTGCACGTTTAGACAGCATCCTACTGATACAGCCTATGTATTTAGATCCACAGTAGCAAGTGAATCGATACATGCACATGCATGTTGCTAACAATGGGACCTTGTCTTTAACGTTAAGATGAATAAAAGGTTGCATGGAGAATGTGAGATGTAAAGATGCGGAAAAAAATGTTTTTCGAATAGCTCTCAACAATTTGCTTCGAAGAATTCCATGAGTCACCTTTGAACTAGAGGTGTATAACTAACAATTTCGTTGGTACCTCTGCCTTTTGTGAACTTTTCATCTGGTCCTATATATTTATTAATGAATGCTCGTGGATAACCACTTCGGATTAGTGTTATAGAAAGACTCCAGTTCTCTAATTGGTGTTTTTTCCGTTCAAATTCGACTGTTTCTTGTGACAGATTTAATGGGTTTTCTTTTCCTACTTAGTAGGACAAAGCTATAGCAGTTAGTCAGCTGCCGTTCCATTTTGGTTTCTAGTGAGTTGATTTCTGCATTGATCAACCATTACTCCTTGAAAGCTAAACATCAAGAGGGATGCTTCCCTTCTAATTCTACTTCTAGAGTACAACTGACTGATTACTGACTGTTATTAAATACTTCAAGGATTCTATTCCGATCAAAACTGCTATCAGTAATGACGAAAATATCATCCGTATAACGTCTATGGACTTTGAACTGACTTATAACTGCTTGTAGAGTACTCGATTCTAGGTGTTCCATGAAGCAATAAGTAGTTGACCAAAGGGAGAACCCAGAGCTGCTCTGTCTTCCTGTCGATATATTTCACCATCAAACAGGAATTGGACGTTCTTGCATATATTTAGTGGGTATTAAAATACTTCAGTTATTTTACTAAGTAAATTTGCAGAGCATACTGTTTATCAGAGGAAAGCCGTAACCTTCCCAGACACGTTAATCTTATTCACGAATTTGAAGATGTCCTTTAAGGAGTGTGTCACCATCATCTTTCTAACCGATTCCATAATCTCTTCCTACCACTGGACTACAGGTTGGTAAGGTAATCAAGCCATATTCCAAAAATAAATCGCATTACTATTTCATCCGCCTTACAAAACTAAAAATTGTGCAGGAACATTAAGACTGCTAATTTTCCAATGGTGTTCAAGATCTTAATTTGCTGAGCTATAAAGGAGCCAGTGATAGGTGTAGAATTAATTTTGCACACCACAGTTGTTTCTGAATGGGCATGAAATAAAGCAAAAGTAAACTTTATGAAGCTAACGCAAAACTACAGACAAAAAAGTTCACTAGTGAGGTAATTACTCAACTAAGTGCTGGTAGTGCAGCAAAGGAGAGCCACATTAGAAAAACTTCCATGTGTTTAACAGAATCAGCAACTGAATGAAAACCGGGTGAAACTGAATTAGTTGGTTACAAAAACAACCCACAACAATAATTTAATACAAAATAATGAAACTAGAACAAGGCATACACGCGACTAATGCTGCTTCTATTCATTGTGGTTCCAAGTTGTCTATTTTCCTAGGCGAAATAGTCGGCCTCTGTTGGCGTTTGAACATTTAAAACAAATGCCACAAAGATGGTGGCTAGTAATAGAATGCAGGATACAAGTTTTGTCATACTCACTAACAGAAGCAGATTATTCCGCTTCAGTAAAAACAAGCAGAAAATAAATCGTTAAGGAATGACAACCAAAGCCTATTGCATCATAGCTAACTTATAGTTTATGATGGGTTTTAGTCTGAGAGGAGACATTATCACACTAAATCAACCAGTCATGTTAGCGAGTCTCAAACAGAGACAAATACACCCCTGAATTTTACTGATAACTGCGAACTGTAGAATAAAAGGAAACGTCTCTGATTCCATATCAATTCGTACTGTAATATATATAGGTTGATAAGCAAATTTCAATCATTGGAGGAAGCTTCCATGCAAGATTCTCTGAGATTAAGACATTAAAGACTAACAGCTAGTATCAATATGGAGTCGCTGGCATTCAGATTTGGAGAACTACAAAATCCTATGGTGGAATTTGTGGACACTTCTATAAAGAGCATAATAGTAAATGTATGTATTCCAGACACCTCTTGCCTAATTCAAGAACACATTTATCACTATGTACAGAAGGGGAAAACTCTGGATTTTCGTATCTCCTAGGTCTTACGATCAAGAAATTCGACAAGTTAAGGGGGGAGATGACGCCCAACAACTCATCATAAATAAAGAACCACTCAATTACAATAAAGAAGCATTAGGTCAAACAAGTACATTCATAAAGCATTCTTAATATGAAGAGTCACTTCTCTTTCATGCAAAAAAGTTTCTATCTCTTACTTAGTGTATAGATAGAAATAGCGAAAAATTTCTAAACATCCTAACCAGGCTGGCTTTAAGTAATATTTTATGCAGCATCCCTTCAAGGGAATTTGAATGAGTCTGTGTTAAAATAGAAAGGGAGTTATCGCAATAATTATCCATAAAATACATATAGGTCAATGGAGATACCTGCACATAAACCACCCGTAGATTAGTATGAATAGTGCTTTCTAAGATAAATTCCCCAGTAAGAGAAATAAACACTATCGGTTGACTATGTTCTCCAGAAACCCTATCCTACGGTTAGTATCGTAGATTGCAGCATTCCATATTTGTCCATCTTTTTATTTCTCCATAGTATTTACTAAACACACCAGGACCTAAGACTACTTATCACCAAAATATTCCATTTTACAATACTTTTACGTCTACACTGTGGGAGTGGATGTCAAAGTGTGGTCACCGGCTCTACAAGTTAGAAATAGGACGTAGATTTCCGAATGCCCAAGTGAAAAGGCTGGCTTAACATTTAGGCACCAAATGGTACTCTCATGGCGTAGTAACGCAGTTCGACTACGGAATTTTTGTGTCCATGAGGAAAAGAACATTTTTCAAGCAGTCAAAACTTCAGTTTTTCAGTTTTATCTCTTTCCCATAAATAACCTTTCACTTACTTGAGTGTCAAGCTAGTTAAGAAGTTCGGGACAGATCAATGTAAAGATTGGAGGCAAACTTTTGAGAAAACCCATCACATTATTAACATAATATGTCTAAAACACGACTCACCAAATTGTCAACGGGTGAGTAAGACAAGGCTGTCTACTATTGCCAATGATCTTCCTGATTGCAGTAGATTGGATAATGCGACAGACAACGGGAAATGAGGAAACAGGCGTAAAATGGACTCACACAAAAAACTTGGAGGATCTGGACTTTGCCGATGATATATGTCTGATTTCCCACAAATTGGAAGATATGCAAGTGAAAAGCAACAAGCTGGCACAAGAAGCATGCAGAGGAGTTAGGACTTCCTTCAGATGAACAGAGAAAACAGAGGTGATGAAGATTCCTGGCCAGCACCAACAGCAACAATCAGCCAGCATAAATGGAAGGAACCTGAAAGAAACAACATCCTTCACCTGCCTGCCTACCTGGGAAGCATCGTCTCAACTACAGGCGGACGGAACTGACGAGGATATCAAAGCAAGAATCAGAAAAGCAAGACAAGCTTTCATTACTCTCAAGTCTGTGTGGAGGTCAACAGCACTCAGCATTAAAAATAAGATCCGGATCTTCAGCTCTCATGTGAAGTCAGTGCTACTATACGGATCAGAGACTTGGCCAGCGCATCATAAAGAGCATCTCAAACAAACTACAGACCTTCATTAACAGTTGTCTTCGCTCAATACTCAAGATCAGATTGCCGGCCAGAAAAGATCAGCAACAGGGATCTCTGTCAATGAGCGAACCAACCAGGAACCGATTGTGCAACAAATAGGCAGGAAGAAATGGAGGTGGATTGGCCATATTCTGAGGAAACCAACAAGTGACATCACTAGAGAAGCCCTCGACTGGAACCCGAAGGGAAGCAGCGAGTTGGTCATCCAAGGGTGACCTGGAGGAGGTCATGTGAAGAGGAGATGAAAGCATGTGGGCAGACTTGGGGTGGGGTGAAAAAGTTGACAGAAAACCGAAGACAATGGAGACGTGCAGCTGAAGCCCTATGTTCCTCTAGGAATGAAAGGATATAATAATACCAATAATAATGTCTAAAACACAGGGAATAGCAGTCTCCAATTTTGACAATATACTTAATACAATACAGAGAGGATCTCACGTGAGGATGCTGTTACAAATCAGTGTTTTGCTAAATGCTTACGCTTTCTTTGAAGCTCAGCTCTTGAGTCAAGATATCAAAAGCTGAATATAATAATAATGATAGGTTGGTACCACAGAACGATCTAGATAAATTAGCTGAATGGACTAACCTGTGGAGTCTGGAAATTGATTCCAAGATAAGCGCGGTAATGGACCTAAGTTAGAGGTCGTACACGTCGTAATCCCTGGGGGGGGGCAAGGAACTATCAGATGTTAAGGAACAAAAGTACTTGGGAATTACTATAAGCCATGACTTAAAACAACGGCGAGTTGTAATGGAGCCGCATTTACGGCTTTTCGAATGTTATAGGAACTTCGAAGGGGTTTCAAACGATTAGAGGAGTGTATGTTCCAAGTACTCTATGCAAAATATTTGAGACCTTATCTAGAATACTGCATACAACCTGTGAGTCCATGCTTCAAAACGATGCACATATCCTGGAAAGAGTACAGCGTGTAGGAAACAAATTAGTTGGTGACATCTTACACCTTCCTTATGATAAGAGGATGGAACATCTAAATCTCTTCCTATTATCATACCGAAGGTAGAGGCGACTTAATTTTGACATACTGTATATTACAAGGTGATTTAAGTATTGACCTTTCAAGTTTTTCCTCCCCTCTAGGACACATTTACGACTTCACCACAAGAAGGTGCTCAAACCGAGGTCGAATAAAATACGTGTGGGATTTAGATTCTCCTACAGTGTGGTCAACAACTGGAGATCCTTACCTGATTCAGTTTTAACAGCTCCCTCGGTGAACGCCGTCAAAAAGAATTCAGATCTCTGCAGAGATATATATCACAAAGATTAACATAGGCAAAAAGAGCCTTCTATCCTTACAATATGAAACCACCTATTTAAGTTACACTTCCCTTATGTTGTTGGAGATACAGCATAGCAGTCACTAAATGACATTGAGAGACAAACCAGATTGAAATGTAGGTAAAAGCTAGTAAATTTGTCAATAAATTATACGTTATAAAGAATAAAGCGACGATCACTAGCCCATGACGAAACTGTCAAACATAACCCAGTCATCATTGACTTCAGAAGCACTGCAGAACGTTTGGGTAGGCTTAGGGGCCTTGTCCCACGTCCTGCAATGTGCCTGAAAAAGGTGACAGCCTCATGGAGTTCGCAAACTTTACTGATCCCAATCATAACAGAAGTCTAGCCGCTGATCTAAGAAACACTTTACAAAACATTAAAGCCCATGAGTATCACGCTTTCAAGGTAAAACCAACACAACATTCGTGTATACAACCTCGACTACTGTATATACATATAATATATATATATATGTTTTCAGCCGCACAGACTAGCGTGGGACAATGCCCCTAAGCCTGCCCCGACCATTCTGCAATGCACCTGAAGTCTGCCGCAAGCAATCTACTATGCGCCTTTCAGGTTTCCCGTCGGTATACTGACCTGATTAGTTCCATCAAATTAGTATTCAGCACCGTTATTTAGTAAATATAATTGCATGATTCTCGAATAAAAATTGTATCACCTTGTTACATTAATTATTCGACTCACCGAAAACAACAATTACTGCAACGAACAGTACACTTTTAAAAAAACGCCAAACAAAAACCTATCTAATATCCTATATATCCAATATCGTTTTTACGAGCTAGTATAAACCAATTTGATTTCTTTGTGCTCGCTTCTTGATTGTAAGGTATAGGTTCCTGATCTTTGGTAAACTTCTGCGTAGCTTGTCCCGCCACTCGACTGTCGTAGCTTTGGTTGACTCCAAAGGGAGTAGTGCTGGGATTAATTATATGTGGTTTGTAGTATGAGGTATGTTAAGACTGTTACTACTGTGATTGGAGTTGATCCTTTCGCCAGTTAGTCCTTCGGTATCGTCAACAAGAGAAAAGAGATGGTAATAATATTACTAATAATAGATCTAATTAGTGAAGCTATTCAGACTAAGAGACAGAAACAAAAATAGGAAACGTAACAACAGTCAGCTCATTAGGTTTGAAGAATAATATATATATCGGTAATAGTAATAATAATAATAGTAATTACAATATTAATAAGTTGTCAGGAGAGTAAGGCGGGAGAGAATGTAAAGAAGTAAAACGACGAGTTTAATTATCTACCCCTGATTGGTATATGCGATTTTAAGGAGATAGGCCATTTGGATGCAGTCCTTGTATCGCTGCATGGTTGTCCAGCCCTCGCTTAAAGGCGTCCAAAGACGGTGCCATAGCTACATCTGCCGGAAAGGAATTCCAGGGACGGCAAACCCGCAGTGAAAAGAAGTGGGAGCGCACCCGGGACCTTGCCCTCTGGTGAGCTATCCTTCTGGGATTTCCACGTGGGAGCCTATACCTACTCAATGGCAGAACACCTTTGTTTGGGTGATTCTAGTCATTTGTTACTTTGTAGGCAGTAATCAAATCCCCCTAAGCCGAAGGTAACCAAGTGTGAACAGGCCTAATTTCTTCAGCCTTTCATCATACGTTTTGTTTCGGAGACCAACCACTCCTTTTGTTGCCCCTCCTTGGCCTCTTTCCAATAGGTTGGCGTCTCTTCTCAGCATTGGGGATGCAATAACATTATGCACCTCAAGGTGTGGCCTGACGTATGTTTTGTACAACCTTAGAAAGAGCCCAGAAGTGAGTGCACCTAACTGCCTATGCGTAAATTGTATGACCGCACATGCCCTCGCTACCTTCCCCGTGTAATTTAGGCTTGTGTCCATTTTTTCCGTTAGAACTAGACCTAAGTCGCATTCCGACGTTGTGCAGGACAAGCTTTCATTGCACAGGGTGTAACTTGCATTCTGCAGTCTACAGGTGCGCAACTTCACTACTTTGCACTTTTTCAGGTTGAAAGTCATGCCACTGGCCACCGCCCAGTCTTCTAGAAGGTTTAGATCTTCCTGCAGCCTGAGTCCTCCGGACACTTTATCGCCCGCCATATTTTTACGTCGTCAGCGCATAGGAGAGTCGGGCAGCTCAGACGGCGTGGTAGATCATTGATGAAAATCAAAAACATCAGTGGTCCTAGGATAGAACCCTGCGACACTCCCGATGGCGAGCTGTGCCAAGATTATCGGAACCGGTTAACCTTAGTGCAAAATTGCCTGTCGGCTAGGCAGTCCCTTTAACCATGACAGAATTGGCTCACCTATACCTGCCTGGCTTATTTTATAATAATAATTAATAATAATAATAATTTATTTTCATATAAACATAAATTTACATGAAAATGCATGCCATTTTTACAGGCACGATCAAGGATGATATAATGTCAAATCTTAAATTGTCTACAAGTTAATAATGTTTCAACAGTTTAATATTTGATATATATATAATTACACATTGTCTGAACCAGGCCGTATAGTTATTGAATTGTACAGTTGTCCTCCAGGTTGAGCGGGAAAATCGACTTCGTTTCGTTTTCATCCCGTGGTTGTAGGCATACGATAACCAACCAATATTGAGGTAAGTACAACGTTTACAAGGAATTGGAAGCTGTTTTAGAAAAATTAAAGTGCTGAGGTGAAACATTAAAGTGTAATAGATTAAGTGAGTGAAATATATCATTAATAAACACATTTATATAGAAAACAGAATGGGGAAGTAATTAATCCTTAGGCCGACAACGTTCATTTGCAATGTATAATGAAACCAATATATTTTATACTATCATGATGTCCACTTTTGGCTTTAATACAATTATTTTCAAGCCAGTTTTTTTTATTTCATGTCTTTTTTTCTATTTGGTGCACAACCGTACCCTCCAGAGAATAGGAATAGAATAAGTCGAATCAAATTCATAAAGAGCTATAAAATGTTAGGTTTAATGGAATATAATGAGAATCAAGTAAAGACGTTATTAGAAAATAAGTGAGACAAGATATTGTGAAGTGGTATTTAAAGATCTGACAATGGATAGCAAGTTAATTTATAAGATGCCCCATAAATCTGTGCAGATCCCACGTGGTCGCATCTCAACAATAGGCTGAGCGAATGGTATATATTTAAAGGTAGAAGCATTATCTGTCAAGGCGTTCACTATTATCTTTTTCAAGATAAAGATCTAAGCCCTCATAAAAATCAGAAATATCTCGAGCCTTTAATTTGTATATTGCTGTTCCTGCAGAATGGGGCGATTCACCTTAGTGACCACCACCATATCTACTGATCAGCTAACGCCACCCTCCCTCCTTTTTTGATGTTAGGCTCTGAGACTATGATTATTATGGCTACCGCAAATATATTGCTTGGTACCAGACATGTTCGTACCCCATATTCCATCTCCCTAGCTTTCTTAATGAGTGCTTCCAATAGGTCTCCACGTACATCTTTACGAACATATTATATATGTGTGCATGCATCCTGATGAACAGATTACTTTATAAGAAGTTAAAACCTTAAAGAGTGAAACGAATAGGTGTTGTGAATAGTGGAGCAAGATTTAGCAGAATACTATAGTTAAGGTTCAATTTAGGTAGTATGGACTGAAGGTAAGGTCGGTTGGCAGGACTTAGTGTACTAAATTTTCATGACAGTCTTATATATAGTAAACATCTGACATTGCAAAGTAACGTGTCTAGACATATTATAAAAAGATATTAACACAGAACCAACGAAATTTTGGCGTTTTTTAACAATACTGCAGTGTGTGTATACTGAAGAATGGTGGTTAGTCTACAGGGAGCCGTAGAGTAAATCAAACCATATATGATAAGAGTATAATCAATAATATAGTTCGTATATCAAATATTACACTAGGTTCAATAATTGAGTGTTATAAGGGAAACAAGCGTGGTAAAGCAAGAGAACATTTGATGCATAAATATTTTAAGTATTTTAATATCCATCTAATTTAAGAGTTGAACATGCATGATTAATAAGTATTATTATATTAGTATATACATATGTAAAACGTTAAAAGGTGTGGATGCTATTACAATTATTTCCAGTGTTACTTTTACCAACACAACTTAGTGAAAATTATAGAGAATAGAAATCAGTAAATTAGTTAACGTTCGCTGCGTGAGTATTAGAGTCGAGATATACGTATGTGACTATACTGAAGACTGGACTGGCCTTCAATTTCCGTTCTACCAACAGTTGTGGTCTTTTAGACGAGCTAGGGTGGACATGTTAAAGTGTCTTTCTAGGCTCCGTTTGAACCCATCAGGGTTTTCACAACATCTTATTTCAGGTGGTAGTTGGTTCCAAAGAGTGCAATATTTTATGGTGAAAAAGTTTGCCCTAATGGATTTTCTGTGGGTAGCCACCTTGACAAGGTAGTCGTGGTTTCGCAGCTGATATGATTTAATATTTTCCCAAGTTATGGATGAGTTACTGTAGCAGTGTTTCCTAATGACTTTGAAGAGTAGAAATAGGTTGCACTTCACTCTCCTTAACCACAGAGGCTCTAATTTCAGACGTACACACCTGTCAACATATTCCACTTGTTGGTCGAACCCTATTATGCGTTTCGTGAGGAATCTCTGGACACTTTCGATTTTTTTTCTGTCTACAGTCCTGAGGTTACTAAATAGGAGAGCACAATATTCAAGTTTGGGACGGATACATGTCCTATATATAGCTAATCTTGCTTCTTGGGTGTAGAAGTTACGCAGTACAAAGCCAGTAAGTCGTTTACAGTCAGATACAACCTTATTTGCGTGATCGGAAAAGGATAAATCTGAGTATGTTATCCCGAGGTCTGTGACTGTGTTCAGTTTTGAGAGGAGCTTCCCGTACATATATAGGCACATTATCGGTTTCCAGCGTCCAAGGTGGGTTATACCGCACTTGTCTGGGTTGAAAGTCAGTTGCCACTTTTCGCTCCAATCGCCTAGATCATTTAAGTCTTGTTGGATCTTGCTTTCGACGCTCATATCACCGTACCCATAATCATATACTATCTTGAGATCATCTGCAAAAAGGTATGGCTTGCCATACTTGATTACAGAGACTATGTCATTTATAAATAAGAGGAATAGAATAGGGCCAAGAACACTACCTTGTATTACACCACTGGTTATCGGCTTTGAGGAAGACAACTGGTGGTTGATTTTGACTAATTGCTCTCTTTCTGTGAGAAAAGAACTTATCCATTTGTGAAGATTTCCGGTTATTCCGTAGGATTGGAGTTTTGTTAGGAGTCTGATATGTGGGACTTTATCGAAGGCCTTGCTAACGTCAAGAAACAATGTTGTTACCGAACGCCCATTATCAATGCTTTGTGTGATGTAGTCAAAATAATCTAAGTGGCAAGTAATGCACGACCTTCTACTTAAGAAACCGTATTGGGATGGGGATAGTAGGTCATTTGACAGCAAGTACTGAATGATTTGAGTCTTAACTATCTTTTCCATTACACGTGAAACTACAGACGTGATGTTGATGGGGCGGTAGTTGTTGATATCAGCTATAGGCCCGTATTTATGGATAGGTACAATATAAGACTTCTTCCAGCAGTTAGGGTATGTCCCATCGCTTAATGAAATTGAGTATAACTTGAGTAAGAGTAAACTCATGTCATTACCACCTTTTTTCAGCAGAACGGAAGATATACCGTCTGGGCCAGTAGTGTTACTAAGCTTAAGATTTGC